ATCCACCCCGAGAGTCATGCATTAATCCAGGAGGAAAACTGGAGAGGTATTTTGTATTCAATCACACTGTCGTTGCCAAGTCTTTACTTAATTCCTTAGTACAAACCCACTATGAAGCCACTTCTGTCCTTCAGGGAGAAAGAATGTACATAAAGAAGCAAGGAATTTGGGAACATGTAGAGAGTGATTTGAAAGACACAACCCACCAAACCTCCATAAGGGAAAAGATATGTACGGAGCTACCTACGTTCACTCGTCTTTCAATCTCTAATGAACAAGTAGCAGGTACAATAATAACAGTCCTTTGTGATCCCTGTAGCCTGTGTCATACTCTTTCTTTCAGTGAACACCCCACGATAATCTCCTAATGTGCTGTCACTTTCCAATCTGCCTGCTCCTTCCTAACTCAGAAAAAAAGTGCGGAAATATGCATCCCAAACTTACTGGTCTCAGAGAAGATCCTCTCAGCTTTCGACCATGACATAGAAGCTATGTTCTCCTGGGTGCCTGGATATTCTAGGGGAAAAAATGAGAGAGGAGGAAGTCCATACCAAAGCAATGGTGCGTACTGTGCATCTCAGCAACTCTCAACAGATGGGAAATTTGTCATAGTGAATGGAAGACGATGACCTTTGGAGTCAAGCAGACCAAGGTGCGAATCTCAGCTCCATCACTTACTGCCTAACTTACCTAAACCCACCTCAGCCTGTTTCTTAATGGGCTGAAGTGGGATCTTGACACTCACTTTTCAAGTTTCTTGGTAAATAAATATTTAGAGCATAAAATAAAGCAGACCGTCAGTAAATCAAAATCGATGGTGGAGTGATGACAAAATAGAGTATCTTCTCTTCTGTATCACTTAATTCCACATTATGCTTGCAGGGGCAATTGAACTTCGAGTTGTTAAGTAACATGTCAAGGTGACACATATAATTGATGGAAGTGAGATGGACACTCAGGTGTTCTTTTCATTATATTGTGCAAGAGAAGAACATCCAGATGGGAAAATAACTTTCTTTGAACTCAGTAACTCTGAGCAAATGAACACCTTACACAAACAGTCAACTCTGAATGTCATCAAAGAATGTCAAAAAAACACACACACACACACACAAAAAACGTAGCTCTGGATGAAAATAATCCTTTTGACAAGAGATGGTGATATGGTAGGGGCACAGGCTAGAGAGACACAAAGACTTGAATCCAAATGCAAACTCCACTCTAAGCTGTCTCTTCTATGACATGGAAACAATAACTGCCTCCTTAAGTTTTAATCTGTCAGTTAAAAAGGACACAGGCTGCAACACTGGGCCTGGTACAGAGACTGTTCACAACAAATATTACCTGTCTTAACCTCATCCCTTTCCTTCTGTCTCCAGGGAAAGTTCAATGCCAACCTCTTCAAGTAGAGGTGAAATTTCTACTCTGGAAAATATTCTCTCTCTATTTCTGGTTGGATATTGATGACTGGCAGTTAATGGTTGTGTTAGCTAGTTTTTGGTGCATAACAAACCACTCCCCGATTTAGTGACTTTGAACAACAACCAGTGCTTGCCCTCACAATTCTGCAGCTCAACAATTTCAGCTGGGCTCAGTCGAATGGTCCTTCTGCTGTTCTCAGAAGGCCTACTTATGCATCTGTGGACAGTGCCCTGTCAGCTAGGTGGCTCAGCTGGGGGTGCCTCCTGCTGTGGACAAACCAGGTGGTGGAATGCTAGTGTCTCAGAAATGATTTTGACTCTTCTTCTAGAGAAAATGTCACAACTATCTGACTCTATGATTCTAATAGGTGTATGATAAAATTCTTTCATGAAATTCTGAGGACAAAAAATAATTTGAAATTTTCCTTGGTTTTGTACTAAACCTATAAGTTGTGGATCTCGTTCTGCAGTAATACGGTATGTATGTCTTTGCCAGAGGAAACCCAGCTTGGAACCTCTTTCCATATTACACTGCTGCAATTCCTCTCCCTTCCAATGAACATGCCCCCAGCAGAGGCATATTGATAGGCATAAACGGATGTAAAAGTGATGGAATGAACTAGAAACTGGCCCCTCTGGTGAGACAAGCAGATAGTACCTGGTATTGTGAAGTAGCCTTGTGATGTGGCTGGGGTCTGGTGTGAGCACCCCTCCACTCAGACAGCAGCCCGATCTCCCACCTTAGCTCCTTCTCATCTAGTCAAATCATTGTTGAAATCTGAATACAAGCTTCTCATTTTCTACTGCAATGCCTTAACCATATTTTTGGGATCCAATGGTATAATTTATTTTGGGGTGGTTGACATTGCTACCGTGAATGTCATTTCCCCGTTCTAACTTTAAAAAATATTTTTATTGATTTTTAGAGAAAGAGGGAGGGAGAGGGAGAGAAAGAAACATTGATGCCAGAGCGAAGCATCCATAGGCTGCCTCCTGCACACCCACGACCAGGATCCAGCCTCCAACCCTGGCATATGCCTTGACCACAGTCGAACCTTGCAACCTTTCAGTGCACAGGACGACGCTCAACCAATTGAGCCACATAGGCCAGGGCTCCCCATTCTACGTTACACGTGATTATGGCTGACACACGTGAAAGCTCTCAGTATTTTAAGTATTGTAATTTCATTCTGCCATTTAAAGGGATTTATATTTACACTGTTTCTGAGGTGTTCCACAAGAATATACACACATCATCTGCAAATAAGGACGAGTTTGTCTACCAAAATGACAGACTTTTTTCTCTTGACAATCTCATTACACTAGAACAAAAACCAAAAACACCTAAAACAATGTAAATGATATTGGTGATGATATTTGCCTACATCCTGATTGTAATATACTTTTTTCCAGCGGTTTAACATCCCTTGTGCATTTGTGAGTATGCGCACACTGAGGAATACAGCCTGCTAAAATGTATTTTCCTCAGTTGTTTTTAATCATGGAGTGTTCCATTCCTTCCTATGTTCTTGATCACCTACAGATCACTAAAATAGGGTCAGTAGCAGTAGTGTCTTTTTTGGCTGAAGTTATTCTCTTTATGTCTCCAGTTAATCATTGTCTTCATATATGACCCATACATCTTTATCATATTATATTCTAGATATTGCAGGTGTCTGTTGCTGCTGGGAACAGGATCCTTTTTATGTGTTATTCTGGGTATCAATGGGGTGGAGCAGACCCTGGGAAGCTGAACTAACTTGTTATTTTAAAATTGAACTCTATGTTTGTTTGTTTTTAATCTCCACCCAAGGATAGTGTTCTATTTATCTTCGGATAGAGTGGGAAGCAGAGAGAGGGAGAGAAAGGGAGAGAGAGAAAGAGAAACATTGACGTGAGAGGGACACATCCACTGGTTGCCTTCAGCACAACCCTGACCAGGGCTGGGGAGGAACCACAACGCGGGTGGGGTACGCACCCTTGGCCAGAATCGAACCCCCCCCACACTGGTCCAGGGGCCCACACTCTGTCGCTGAGCCAAACCGGCCATGACGATCTGGATGCTTCTTAACTACTTTCCACTTACATCTCAGTCCATGTCCACTTGTTGAAAGAATTATTTCATTGGAGTGAGTTCTGGGTGATCCTGCTTGTCTGATGCCAGCAGAGTGCCTGTTGGTAAGAGAGAGACAAAGATGCATTAAGTTGCAATATGGCCAAAGCTGAGGGACATCAGAGGCTTCTCCATAAGGCTACAACTATGGCTAGAGTGGGAAAACAACACAAACATTTAAAAGGTGAGGGAACCCTTTAGGTTGTTGAATTTTTGCCTGGGGTGGGGCCACTGCTTGGCCTCGAAGACAGGATGACCAAACAGAGAGGTGCGAGAGCACCAAGTGGCCTTGCTGCGTGCAGTCCCACGCCAGGAGGCTTCTAAAAACCAAAGTGAAGGCTATGAAGGCATTTCCACAGGCATGCTTTCCTAAACCCCAACCAGTACTTAACAACGAGAGAGTGAGAAGGGTGGCGTGTGTGGAGGGTGAAGATTCTTGGGATTTAATAAAACACTATTTGGGGTGGTCCTCCAGCTGTTGGGAGAATATGATCCCAATGCAACAGAAGAGGGGCTTTCTGAGGAATGGTGGTGGTGGTGGTGGTGGGGGGGGGGGGGTTAGATGTCCATAGGGTTGAAGAAAAGCGTCAAGTTATGGGCTGTGTCTAGATGTCCTGCAGGCAAGGTGAAGAACCTGTTGAAGAAATAAAACTGTGTGATATGACTCAGCAAAGATTAGGTGAGACTTTGATCCAAGAATACCGAGATCCTTTTGACAAACCCGAGCCTTGATATAAATAAGCCAGTACCATTCACGATGGGCGATGTGGAAGGTGCACTGGATCCTATTGTGGGGAGAAGGATGGACTGTGTTTCTTAACCTGGTGGGCGGTGAGGAGAAACGTCCCGTGGCGCCACCGCCACGGTCAGCTCCCAGGTACACGTGGAAACAGCGCTAGCCCAGGTCACAAAGCGGTGAATTGAACTCCGCGTGAAGGAGATTCCCAGCCGGAGAGGTGCGGGGCGCCTGCGCAGTGGGCCCCAGGCCCTGCGCTGCGGGAGTCGGGAGACCCCCACCCCGCCCCTCGCCCTCCGGCGGGAACGCGCACGTGGAAAGGGACGCGAACGCGCACGCGAAGGCACCCCAAGTCCTTCTGCCCTGCCGGGGCGGCTGAGGAGGGGGCGACTGGCGCAGGAGCCGCGGGTGGGCTGCGTGCCACAGCGCCTCCTCCACCCAGGCGTGTGCGCTCGGGACCCCGGCCGGCCGCGGAGAGGCGGACTAACTGACGTCCTCGCCGTTCCCGCCCCCTCCTCGTCCAGCCCCGCCCCCGCCTCATCTTGTCTGAGGCTTGAGCTCCCTGGCTGAGGCGCCTCACTCTCCCGCCCCTCGCAGCGGCCCTTTCTCTCCACCGCACCTCACCCGGCGGCGGCGGCAGCGGCAGCGGCAGCGGCAGCGGCAGCGGCAGCGGCAGCGGCAGCGGCGGCGACCCGAGCAGCAGTGAGCGCGGGAGCAGGCGGCCTGGAGGATGAAGTGCAAGCCGAACCAGACGCGGACCTACGACCCGGAGGGCTTCAAGAGGCGGGCGGCGTGCCTGTGCTTCCGGAGCGAGCGCGAGGACGAGGTGCTGTTAGTGAGTAGCAGCCGGTACCCGGACCGCTGGATCGTGCCGGGCGGGGGCATGGAGCCCGAGGAGGAGCCGAGCGGCGCGGCCGTCCGAGAGGTGTACGAGGAGGCGGGAGTCAAGGGGAAGTTAGGCCGGCTCCTGGGCGTCTTCGAGCAGAACCAAGATCGCAAGCACAGGACCTACGTGTTCGTCCTGACTGTCACTGAGGTTCTGGAGGATTGGGAAGATTCGGTGAGCATTGGGAGGAAGCGAGAGTGGTTCAAAATCGAAGATGCCATCAAGGTCCTCCAGTGCCACAAGCCCGTGCATGCCGAATACCTGGAGAAACTAAAGCTGGGCGGTTCCCCCACCAATGGAAACTCCGTGGCCAGGTCCGTGCCCAGGAGCGACCCCTAGTATGTACCGCTCCTGCACAGAGCCCTTGCTTTCCGCTTGCCCTAGAGCACCTAGTGCCCGCGCACCTCCCGTGCCCTGTGCGGGCTCCCCGGGGGAGGGGGCTCCTTTTGTTTCCTTGGCAGACCTCGCAGTCACGCTTGCAGACTGTCTCACTTGCCAGCCACTGTTTTCCGACAAGTTGCACGTTTTTCAGATACTTTGAGAATCGCTTCTTGCTGGCGCTGTTTAACATCCTTCACGTGGGTTTTCTTTAAAGGTGCCTTCACTGCTCACCCAGCCCTCGGGTGTGTGCGTGTGCGTGTGCGTGTGCGTTCGCGCGCGTGTGTGCATTTTTGGCACCAGTCTTGTGGTTTTGTAGCGAACGCATTTAAAATCTGGTCACCTGGTTGTCTGGCACCTTGCATTAATTTTCTTTCTAAAGTTGTCTCCTCGTTCACAGTATTCGCCCTTGTCAGCAAGCCCTTCTGTGGTGGGAATTGGTTTAAATGATCCGTTTTGAATTTTTAAGAATGATTGAAGAAATTGGACCCCTTGCGCTCTTGCCGCACCCCACAATAATTTTATCTTCTGAATGTGTTCTGATTTGCCCTTCTCAGAAATTTCTTGACTCATATGTACATAATTTGATTGCAAACATTGTTCACAACTGGTAAGTTTTGACTGCTTACTTGAAATGGCCATTCCTGCCCTGGCCGGTTTGGCACAGTGGTTAGCGTGTAGGCCCTCAGACCAGAGAGTGCCAGGTTGGGTTCCTGCTAAGGGCAAGTACCTCAGTTGCAGTTGGTCCTTGGCCCCCATTGGGGTCCTGTGGGGGGCAGCCAGTTGATGTGTCTCTCTCATGTCCATGTTTCTCTCTCTCTCTTCCTCCCTCTCTCCCTCCCACTCTATCTGAAGATAAATGCAAAAGTGTTCTCGGGTGAGGATAACAAAAACCCATCAAACAAACAGAAAACAAATGGCCATTCCCTGTGGACCCCAAAGGTAGTTTAACAAAATATTACTATAGAGTAGATATTTCTCAGGACGATATTGTTGGCCAAACACATCCATATATCTTATTGGGAAAAGTCTCTTCATAGAGGATGATGTAGCATGTTCCACTTCCAACACCCATTGCCCCTGTCTCAATACCCTTAGAACAACCATGGTTTTCTCAACATAAACTCGTTTTTGAAAGAAAATTATTTCACGTTTAAATTTAGCAACATTCCAGTTAAACTTCCTGACTACCAGTAAATACAGGGCCGGGATCTGGATAATGATAACATCCCAGTTGAGTGAGAAACCTTTCTTGATATTCAGCTGTTAATGACTTTCAAAGTGTTGGGACACCAGAAAAATCTCTCTTAAAGATTTAAAGTAAATGTTTTGTCTGTTGTGACAATTTTAGCTTGTCATCATGACTCCCATCTGAAATACTTAGGTATCTCTTCTGGAACTTTCTACTTCAAGTGGGTATTGTGGGTTGAAATCCCATTCCTAATTTTGAGGGTAACCTAGAATATATCATATCTCTTAATCATTATTGATAGGTATTTTGTGTTGGTCAACTTTTTGGAAGGACGCTGTTATGCTTTTTTTATTAAGAAATTTGAAAGCGTAGATCCCTCTTGATACTGCTCAACTTCTCTTCGGAGAGTTGAGAAAAAGCCTACTTTGTTAAGAGAGAATGGGTAGGGTATATTTTTCTACATAAAACAATTGACATCTTAAAAGTATGCTTCAGAACAATAATGAATATAACTGGATAATAACTGTAATTCACTTTTAACCTTTTAAAAAGAACACAATACCTGGTAGAATTGAATTTCTTTTCAATTATATTTTTAAAATAAGATCTTTGCTATATATAAATGTCTAAAGTATATATTGTTAACAAAAATTAAATGCTGTCAAAGGAATTAGTAGTGTAAAAAATGAATAACTTTTGAAAGTCAATTCTATAATTTCACATTCTAAATTATGCAAAATTATCTAATGTTTTTCAAAAATCATGTTTCTTCACCCTAGCCAGGTTCCTCAGTTAGTTAGAGCTTCATCCCATACATGCAAAGGCTTTGGGTTTGATTTCTGGTCAGGGCACATACTTCGGTTTTGGGTTCCATCCCCAGTTAGGGTGCGTATGGGAGGCAACTGATCAATGTTTCTCTCTCACATCCATGTTTCTCTCTCTCCCTTTCTCTCTCTAAAACAATAAACATATCCTTGAGTGACAATTTAAAAAAATATTGTTTTTTTTTTTACAGAAAGAAGTATTTTTTAGTTTTTATTTTTATTATTTTTACTGTTGAAAGGATTACAGATATCCTCCTTTTTTCCCCATTAACCCTCTCCTTCCCACTCCCAACCCCCCTCCTGCCTTCCCCAGCCTAGTGTCCCTGTGGACTGGTTGTACATATATGCATACAAGTTCTTTGGTTTATCTCTTCCCACCCATCCACCCCTCCCACTCCCCATTCCTGTGAAGTTTGTCTTATTTTTTCTTTCTTTTTTTTTGTATGTTCCCCTAGCAGGAACTGAACCCGGGACTCTCTGGTGTGCAGGCCGACGCTCCAGCTGCTGATCCAAACCGGCCAGGGCATGTCTTATTTTTAAAAAAAGACTTTCTAATTCCTAAAAGTTGACCTTTTCTAATCCAACAATCCAAGTCGACTAATAGATAGTCTTAGTAACCTGAGATTTTTCAAAGTACATGTACCCTAACTGCAGAAAAAATGAATTACTGTGTTGTGACTATTTCATGCAAAGAACTACCTCCATCTAAATTGCTGCCACAAATACTTGGGAGGTTTAATTTATGTATGGCATTCTTAGAGATAATAATGCAAATTCTTATCTTTTGGCTTATATGCTATGTGTTTGACAAATGTTAAAAGTACAGTGTTGATGTTTATCAACTCTTAAGAGTTGTTAGCCTTTATTTGCTATATTTTATTCAGAAATATTTGGATTGCTGAAATACCTTCAATCTATGCAATTTGTAAAACTTCCAAGGTTTTCATTTATGAATCACAACAAAATATTTTGCAATTACCACACTGTAAGTTAAGTTTTCAAATTCATGTGGACAAGTCTTGGTATATATGCTTCTGGAGCTCAGTCTAAAATAAATGGGGGGAAAAAAAGCCTTTCATTTTGAAAGAGAAATCCAAAAAAATTCATTCTACTGACCAGGATAGTAACAAATGAAATAGTGTCTATAACCATTTCATCCTCCAAGAGTTTAATACACAGTTGGGATTTTCTGCTTACAGTTATTACATAGCACTCATGCATTACTTATGTGGTGATTGCACTAAAAATGTACAGGTGAATCTTTCAGCTTATACCCCTCCCAGAAAACAGTACATTGATCGAAGAAAATTAACCCTTTCAGACATGAGGTAGAAATCTGTTTTCAGCATGTTTTTTTTAAACTTTTTTTTCCCAACTGTACAAGTGCCTATTCTTATGTTTAAAATAAGTTTTAAGAAGACATTTTGGAGTAAATTTTAATTTGAGTAAATTGTAAAGATTTGAACAATTTTATATTTAGAAACATCAAATAAGTGTGTGTGTGTGTGTGTAAGAGCAGGAACAGGCAGCTTGTAAAATACCAGCAACATTAGAAGCACCTTCTGGGACAGATAGTTTAAAGGGCTCTGAGGATAGAGCTGCACCTTTCACTTTCCATTCAGTGGAGTCCAATTGTAAGAAAGAGCAGTTACACCCTGGCCAGTTTGGCTCAGTGGTTGGAGCATCGGCCTGTGGACCAGAGAGGCCTGGGTTTGGTTCCCGCTAGAGGCACGTACCAAAAGAAAAGAAAGAGCAGTTGCTTCATCAGTAGTTGTTTACTGGGAAAAGGACGATGAAAATGTGGCTGTAGAGACTACCATTCTAATAGCTGGCCAGAGTTTTCTCTTTCAGGGTTCCTTTTCTGGAAGCACCAAGCAAAACAAGAAATATTTTCAGCATAATTCTAGTATTGTAATCATCTTTCTGAATGACTGTTGGCCTGTTAGACTGTGAATTCTAGTGGCTAAAATTTGGAGACATTTGTCATTGATCCAGAGATTAGAAATGTCTACTACTAGTATATTCTTGGTTTCTTAGCTTCATATATTAGCTGAGACAATCTGTTACTCCTTCACAGTGGAACTGCATTGGATAATTCATTGATGGCTTTTCCAATAAAAAGTGATTAATGAAGCATAGTAGACCATCCACAAACATTTGCTGACTAGAGGAATTGATGAGCTAATAAAACTATTAATGAGATTTTTTTTTCCAGATTTACTTTGAAAGAATCAAGTATGTGAACCCAATGAGGAAAGGAATTGCGAAGCACGGGTGAGCTCTTTCATACTATCAAGATCACAGCTCATCCTATGCTTTTGGACACTTCCCTGTTTATTACAATGACAATTTTCCAGGTTGTTGCACTACCACTGTATGTGTACAGACTTGTAATTTGGCACTTATGGCCTTTTTTTGTGCTTTTATGATTGTGTCTGTTCCCACCAGCTTATATGACCTTGAGTGTAAGGACCTTGTTTCCTTAGTATTTTTATATATCTAGCATACAGGACATCACTTGAAATATGGTAGACATCACTGAAGATTTGTCTAATTAATATTTTGTAATGACACTGAGTGGTAAAGCATTCACCTTCTAATCTGGTGTAGTACAATAAATGCTCTCTATCATACATGTGGCTTTTGTACGTCGGGTGTCGTGTTTTAAGGCATCTGTGAGATATCAGAAAGCAAAAATTCTTACTCATATATCTCTGTCACCGGAGACATTATGTACCTCCTAATGGCAGTATACTAGACTACCTATGAAATATATTTGCCAAAATTTTGGACTTAAATCTAACTGTGCCTCTAGACATAAATCCTAACCTATAGAAAATACAGGGAACAGAGAAGCATACACCAGAGAGATTATATCAGCAGAATCCAGACTGTAGGAAATTCTACAAGACAGATGACCCAGTTCCTTTAGTAAATAAATGGCCTGGATGAAAGAAAGAAATGGGAGGATGAACCTATAGAGATTAAAAGAGACATATAAACCAGTTGAAACATGGATCTTTTTTAGATCCTGATTTGACCAAACTATAAAATACACTTGTAAGACAATCCGAATAATTTGAAAGTGGACTTGATATTTGATATTAGTTGGGATAATGGTGTTGTGGTTATATTGGAAAAAAAAGTTTTTATCTTTTAAAGATACATTCTCAAACATTTACAGTTGAAATGATGTCTGGAATTTGCTTCAAACTAAGAAGTCTGAATGTTAAATGTGTTAGAGATATTGATGAAACAAGATGGGCCTTGATAATTATTGAAGCTGGGTGATGGTTAAATGATGGTTCATTGTATGTTTCTACTTTTGTATGTTTGACATTTTCCATAATAAAATGTTAATTTAAAAAGTTATCAGCATTCTTATTAAAGCTATAAGGTCCAGAGAACAAAGAAGAGGAAACGTTTTAGATTGTTTAGAAAATGTTGGCTCTGGCATGCCACTTCTGGCCTAAGAGGTCAAATGCCAAAAAAGAGAGGGGCAACATAACCTGGGGTGGCTAGTGTTACCCTTGCTACAGACCAGTGTTCTTTTTTTTTTTTCTCTAATTTGGCTCATTAAAATAGGAAGAGTTCAATTCTTTTTTATATAAATTAGAAAATGGAAATAGATTCTCATGTTCTGTTAAGCAGGATTTTTAACCACACAGTCCAGTTCATATCAATGGAAAAATAAAAAAGGGTGGAGTCTCCTGGGACCAAGTTATAGAATTTTATGCAAATCCACCAAAATGCCATTTTTGAATAATTTTTTAGGGGAATAGTGGCTGCAAACTTGTTAGACTGCACTGAACCATTTTGTGTTTCCTACTGTAGCTATTCCTTCAGTTTTTCACTGTTCTTAGAATTCTGCAAAGGCCAAAACCTTCCAGGTTAGAGTTAGTGAAGCTTTGCTGAAATTGACAGACATGGGGGCTATGCTGACATTTTTTTGTGGGCCAAGAAGCAGCAAGCACAAAGTAAGAACATTGGAGGCCTCTTCCAGGGAAGATGAACACCTTCAGAAGTGTGAAGGGCTGTGAAGCTGAAGCTGCCCATTCTACTCCTGCTTTCTAAGTGTGTCCCAATCCCAAGAACAAGCGGTTCCCCAGAAACAACTGTTTCCTGGAAAAGGGAAGATGAAAGGTTTACCTCCAAGCCCTTTACTACCTGCAGCTAGGCAGAGATTTCACTTCCAAGGCTCCCTTGTTAGAAGGGACAGAAAAATTCCAGAAAAAAATTTACTAATCTTTCCCTAGAAGTTGTTTTTTAACTTGCGTTTACAATAAGTTTACTAATATATATAGTAATTTTTTTTTTTTTTTAATTTGGGAGGAAAACAAAGCCAGGTGAACAGAACTGTAGGTGGTGGTTGTAAGTTAAATAGTGGTTTGTAGTCCAAAAGGCCATGGCTCAAAACTGAACTGACCATCTACTAGCTGTGTGGCCTCTGCTAAGTTACTTTACTTCTCTAAACTTCAATTTTCTCCTCTGTAAAATGCGGATAATCACAATCCCTACCTTTGTAAACAACATTGCTTCTGAGAAGCCCTTCTTGATCTCCTACGGTAAGGTATACTCTTGTGTTCCCAGGTGTCCCACTGCTTTATTTCATAGTTCTTATAAAAATTATATTATACTTATTAGCCTGAATTTCTCTACCTTCTAAACTCTGAGGTCCCATGGCATAGGGACCCAGACTAGCAAAGAGCCTAGAACATGGTGCCCCACTGGTACTGATAATATGTATTATATAAATAATTGTCATATCTTTCACTTGTCAAAAGTACATTGCCATTATTTTACCAGGTATTTGTGTACTGGAAAATGTGAAAAATAAGACACCATAAGACTGTGGTCTGGACTCAAATTTGTCTTTATTGGGAAGAATATTTTGTCTATAAATCATGTTTCCATTTTTTCAGAATCTTCCAGTACCAATAATGCCTAACTTCTTAGCTTCATAAAACACAATAAGAGATTACCTCAGGTGCTGAACTGGCCCCACAGCTGCATTTGATAATTCACTGAAGGCTTCCCATATATAAGTGATTTGAAGATATGGTAAGCCCTCAGTATTTATTCAGTTTGAGAATTATTGAATAAATACAAGTATGCTAAATATATTATTTTATTTTATGGATAAAAGACATAGATAGCAATCAGGATTATATGGTAAAAAATTCACACATAGAAGGCAAGGCAAAGCCAATACCTTATTGATTCGACTGGTAAAGATACATTGAGACACTTTTAGCCCTGGCCAGTTTGGCTCAGCGGTTAGAGTGTTGGCCTGTGGACCAGAGGGTCCCGGGTTTGGTTCCTGCTGAGGACACGTACCTCAGTTTCAGTTTGTCCCTAGCCCTGGTTGGGGTTGTGTGGGTGGCAACCACTCGGTGTGTCTCTCTCACATCCATGTTTCTCTCTCTCTTCCCCTCCCTCTCTCCCTCCCACTCTATCTGAAGATAAATGCAAAAATGTCCTTGGGTGAGGATTAAATAAATAAATAAATAAATAAATAAATAAATAAATAAATAAAAAGTTCCATTGAGGTACTTTTATATTTAGACAGTTTATTATATACACAGTGCAAAAAAGAACAAGCCAAAGGTGCCAGGTCCCCAGTTCTTGTCCCACATACCCTAAAAGACAACACAGAAACAAAAGGATCTTTATGACTGAAACAAGTTTTGGGATACTCCTTTACTGAGGAGTCAAATCTAGACTGAAGTTGAGGCTTTTATATGCTACAGCTCTATTCTGGGGGGAGGGGGGATGCAAGACAGAAAGTCCCATCAGAAATTGGTAGGTCATGAGAAACTATCTCATGACAACCTCCCAGGGGTGATAAGAAGGTGTGTGGGAGATGGCCTTGTAGCAGCTCCTTACATTCTTCCATCTTCTCATGTTCTGGGAAGTCACAAGGCTCAGTTTAACTATAGTTCCAGTCTATATGGGTACCTGAAAGGGTGCCAGGTATCCACTTTCCTTTTACATACCCAGCTAGGAATTCTTTCTGTAAGTACAGGCCACCGGTTGTGGCCACTCTGAAGATACACAACGAACTCCATCCAAAATTTGGTTCGGATGTTGAAACTGATACCACTTACACACCAAGAGGATATTCAAAGATTTATTACTCACATAACAAGGCTTTATGGAGAGAGCAGGACAGGCTTCCAAAGCTGGTTTAAAAATTCCCGAGAGAGCAAGAAAAGGGAGCTGGCTTAGATTTTTTATTGTGGTTAAAGGGTGGGGCTAAAGTGGGGGTTCCAATGCACAGTCAGGAGCTTGCATGGTTTGAAACTCCCTTTGGCACCAAAAGAGAGAGCACCCGGGGTTTTTATTAGCTTGCCCAGATGCAGAGCCAAAGGGGAAGAGTGAGAAGTGAAGCTTAAAAGCTGTCAGCAGTCAAACATCAAAAAGAAAATTGCAGACAGACTCTTTATTACAATTCATCCCTGATGTTTTTGGCTAAAATGTACAATATTTCTTTAATTGAATTGCAACATGTTTAATAAGCCATTAAGGTACACTGTGAGGTCTGTAACCTGAAGTCTATATGGAAGGTGAAAGTTTCATCAAATGACTTGCCCAGTATTGTGTATTCTGAGAAGTGAAATGAATGCCTTAGTCACAATCAACAATGTCTGGAACTCTGAAGGGGATAAGAATGTCTTGATGAAGCCTTGCATTGTAGCTTGAGTATATGTAGAGGCATACATGATGTTGATTTCTATTTTCTTATCTGTGAGGGAAGGGATTCCCAGACTACCCCAAAAGGGGCAATCTTGGATAAGAAATTTATGTTGCTTCCATTGGACAAACAAGAGAACCAGGCCATTGACAATGCCCTAGGGTCTAAAATTTGCAGAGGGGCCAATCATTGGCCAGGGCATCCAGTGCTAAGATGACTGCCTGGAGTTTGGACAATTGCACCTTGGGTTTAGTATTTATTTGAGACATAGCAGTTAAAGGATGAAAAGCAGCAATAATCATGATTATGGCAATGTATTCATCAAGTATACAAACTCTCATCGCTATACACTCAGTTGATCCCAAGAGGATCCCTAGGTAGCCAAAGGGTGACCTTTTCCATCCCCATGGCATCTGGCAAGGGACTGAGGACAGGGAAGGCCATTCCCACCTGCAAATGTGATATGCCAGAGGATCATACTAGATATGCCAGAGGACCATATGCTCCATACTAGAGCAAAGAGGTTTTGGTGACTGTGATGATTTTACAGGGTGCTTCTTCCAAGGCCCAAGGCATAATTAACTAAATATGAAGGATCACAAGCTCAGGGCCGGAGAGAGCCTCTATTTCCAGGAGACCTCAGTACGTAGCTAGCAACTGCCACTCTAATGACATACAGGTATACCTCATTTTATTGTGCTTCACTTGATTCCATTTC